TTATTCTTCGTGTCAAGTGGCCAGCAACAATTTGTCTTGTTTACTCAACAGATTTCTGTCATATCTGCGCAGCAATCCTTTATTCGCGCCGTTTTCATTGCCTCCACTTTTCACTTCACACCCTTCGCTTGCCGTTTTCCCCAAACACTTTTCCACCAGCCAACATTTTGCCAAGTTGGCTGCCATTTGAAATCTTTTTCCTTTATGCCAATTGGCAGGTCACACCAATTGAACTTTAATCGCTGCTGACTTTTGTCATTGCTTTATCGTTTAGGCGACAACACAGAGTGTCCCTCCCACTCGCACACCCCAAATGGCCATCCCCTTTGACCCATCCCCGGGTATCCCTTCAAAATTGTTGCCAAAAAACGCGGCCCAGACGTAATCCCAAACGCAGACTGCCTGGGTCCGGCGCTCTTTGTCTCATTGAATAGACCCGGCCACGCCCCTTTGGGGTCCGATCCAGGCGTGTGTGCGCGCTTAACTACGCGTGTTCGAATTTTTATGCCCGTCAGTTAGAAATTTTCAGCCATTTCAGCGAAATGTAAAAAGAACAGCCAGAAACATTCAAGTGAGGAGTCGTGGAGCGCCGAGAAAAAATTTGTCGTACAAATCTTTGAAATTGCTCCACCGAGAACTATTTTCAATGCGTCGGAATCAATAAATTTAGCCGAGCATTCGCGGCAACGTTTTTGGCGGAAAATTTGCCGGAATTCCCTTGATTTCCCCCGGAGCTCTGTTCTCCACCCCCGACCACTCGATTTCATTACCTCCCGGTTCTCGATAGTTTGTCTGGGATGTCGGTAATCGTAATTGCGGGTCTGATAAATATTAATGTCTCTGCTATGTGTGAGTACGGATGGATTCCTGAGCCTGAAGACGCTTTTGCGCCAAAAGCGCTTCCCATTTCTGCTGTTTGTCTAATGCACGTTTTATGGCCAACTTAGCACGTGCTCCTCCCAACACCCACCACCCAATCTTCTATATGCCGCCCTCCGCAACCTCTGGCCAGCTGAAAATATATTATTTGAAAATATTTTCTGTTTTTCTTTGTTTTTTGCTGCAGTGGCGCAGTGACCATAAATTGCAGTGAAAGTCATTAGCAAATAGGCTTAGGAGAGCTATTCAACAATCTGAATATAAATTCCAGATGTAGCACACACGTGTTTCTAAAATGGAAAAAAAGAAGAGGGGAACACAAGAATAAATGGTTATAAAATGCTTGAAAATAAATAAATAATCAAAATTGACGTTATAGGAAACAAATAACAAATCATTCAAATGTTAAATATATTATTCCCACAAAATAAACGTTTGAATTTAGTAAAATCACAATTAATAAGTATTTTAATATTATTTGTATTCTTCAGAATCTAAAACAAGAGAGAACGCTATAGTCGGCTGCCCCGACTTTCAGACACCCGTTACTGAGCTAAAGGGAGTGCGAAGGAGATAAAAACTTTGATCCGCCGTAACTTTTTAACGAATGGTTCGATTAAAAAAATTTCTTCTACATTTCGATAGGTATTGATAAGCACAATAAAACTGCATTTTTACTTTTCCGAAATATTAAAATTTTTAAAATCGTATATTAGCGATTGTGGGCATTAGAGGAGGCGTGGCACTCTTTTGAAACAAACTTGCGCTGCGTAGGAACTCCTAGAATCTGCATGCAAAATGTCAATCTTCTAGCTTTTATAGTTTCCGAGATCTCAGCGTTCATACGGACAGACAGACAGACAGACGGACAGACAGACATGGCTAGATCGACTCGGCTAGTGATCCTGATCAAGAATATATATACTTTATAGGGTAGGAAATGCTTCCTTCTAGCTGTTACATACTTTTGCACGAATACAATATACCATTTTACTCTACGAGTAACGGGTATAACAACGATAAGCTATCACGAAAATAAGGACGACACATAAATGTAAATATTGTTTGTATTCTTTAGAATAAAAAAAACAAGAAAGGGAAAAGCTGGTCACTCTAATTTTGAATATGTGAATGCAAAATGTAAATTATTTCAAATGGGGCGCGCGAAAAACACACAAAAAGGCATATTTATATTAAATTTGTTAAGCTGAGTAACGGGTATTTATTTCTTGTTTTAAATTGTCAAAAATCAAAACACCTACTTCCTACAAAGTTACAAAATGTAGTGGTCCGATCCGGCTCGTTCCGACATATGTACTACCTGCAAAGAAAGAAGACTTTTGGGAAAGTTTCATTGCGATAGCTTTAAAACTAAGAGACTAATTCGCATAGAAACGGACAGACGGACAGACTGACAGACGGACATGACTATGTGGACTCAGCTATTGATGCTGATCAAGAATATATATACTTTATGTGGTCGGAATTATAATAACCTCTGCCAGTGTATAAAAAACGATGGAAAAAGTGCACAATCACGAAAATAGGAAAAAGAATATTCCGAAAACAAAATTATACGGTATTATTGTATATGTAATATGTAGTAGAAAAATTGTTGATGGACGGGAAAATGGTGTGCTCTACTTAATAGAGTTTATAGTTTATAGATTTATATAATTTATAATTAAATAATTTTTCAAATTAAATCAACACCGAACTAATCTAATTTCACTTTAAATCTACTTTCCCAGAACGATTGCAAGGCCGTTTATTTTCACTATTCGACTGAAAAAATTGTTAATCGCTTTTTCAGCTGATGCAATTCAAATGCCGATTGCGTTGCTCTCGGACATAGCTGCTATTATTTTATGTCGTATGTCTATAAATTATATTGATTTTTATTTGGTATCAGCTCGGAAAACACACAAAAAGAGAAACAAATCAAAAACAAGAAAGGAAGTTAACTTCGGCCAGCCGAAGTTTATATACCCTTGCAGGTATGCCTACTTAAAATCTTGTTTTTACATTGTTAAAAATCAAAACGCCTACTTTCTACAAAGTTACAATGGTTTTTCTATTATTTTTTTGATTATTCCTCGTTCCGACATATGTACTATCTGCAATAGAAAGAAGACTTTTGGGAAAGTTTCATCGCGATAGCATTAAAACTGAGGGACTAGTTCGCATAGAAACGGACAGACGGACATGGCTATATGGACTCGGCTATTGATGCTGATCAAGAATATATATACTTTATGTGGTCGGAAAAGTCTCCTTTACTGAGTATCAAACATCTGACTGAAATTATAATACCCTCTGCAAGGGTATAAAAATTGTCGAAAGTTCAAGAGGCTCAGTCAAAAGTCAGAAGCAATTACGAAATTCTAGCGCATTTTGCACGCAGCTCACTTATTGTTTGTTTTTATAAATTTTTTATGTAATTGCATAGTTCGGAAGCTGGCAAAGACACAGTTAACGGTTAATCGTCGACGCCGTCATTAATTAGCCATAAAATACATTTTAGACAACAACTAGCCACATGGCAAAGCAGCGATCGACAAACACGGAGTTCTGACAACGGACTTAGGTTGTCTGGTCCAGTTAATTAGCGCTCGGGCAAACAAAATAAAACCAAATGTGACACCAAACGAACATAAAACAAACAACGAGAAATCCCCAGCGAAATAGAGACCTTTACTCACATTTATTGTCCAATTTCTGACAGCCGTACAAAAAATAAAAACCAACCCAACAACTTGTTCAAACAAGACGAAATTGCTCATACGCAGCTTTAAATTATTATCTCCCAACAGAGCAAATGTCAACAAAGTGAAACAAGGCAAATAATTAGTGCACACACATATATCACACTTTTATTATTTTTTGTCATTTTTAAGTAATTTGTGTTGAAGATATAGATTAACGATGTCTTTGGCATAAGTTTGTTATTTGTTGAATAAATTACAAGGGCCACAAACTTTATAACATTATTTAATTTGTCACAGTTATACAAACACATCAGCTCTATAAGATTATTTAAATTCCTAACTCAGACCCCTATGATTACTAACCTACCTCAGTGTAATCTAAAAGTAATCTCAACCAAGATCAATTGGTGACTTTCTGTAATAGCTTCAATTTAGTCATTTACTACGTAGAAGCCCAAGAATATGTATTCCCACACAACCTTCTGGCTTTTGTAGTTTCCGAGATCTCAGACGGACAGACAGACAGACAGACATGGCTATATCGACTCGGCTAGTCACCCTGATCGAGTATATATATACTTTATAGGGTCGGAAAAGCTTCCTTCTCCGTGTTACATACTTCTGCACGAATACAATATACCCTTTTACTCTACGAGTAACGGGTATAATAAACTTTTATATTTCTAATAGTCAATTAAAAAAAATGGAAATGTTTGTAAAATCCTGGATATTACAGTAAAAGAGAAATACTCCATTAAAAAAAGAGAACGCTATAGTCGAGAACTTCGACTATCAGATACCCATTACTCAGCTAAAGGAAGTGCGACTGATATGGAGATGTGCAGCTCCATCTAGCGACCGCGTCTGGCTCCATCTAGCGGCCATTTGATTTTTTGCTCGCAAACGTTTCCTTCTCCGTGTTACATACTTTTGCACAAATACAATATACCCATTTACTCTACGAGTAACGGGTATATATATACCCAGGCATGAGTCTGAAGATAACGAACTACTTTTAATAACGCCAGGAACTGAACCACCCCAATGGAGGATAATGACCATGCGAACTAAAAAAATATGTGGAGCTGGACGTGAGAGGGCGTTACGGTACTATAAATAGACCCAAAATGGGATGGTGGGACTGTTTTTCGTGAATTTGTGGCGTACATGTCGTACACGTAATTGCCCGGTTCAATGAGAAACGCCCAATTAGTTGGGATTTTTTGTTTCAGCTTGGCAGGCCTGGCTTGTAAACTCGGCTCGAAGCCGAGTTCGGTGGAAAGTGGTCAGCGGCAGCGGCTGCAGCAGCAACAACACTTGACGCAACAATAGCCGAATAGACGAGCGTTGATTTATCTCTCTTTTAAGTTCTCCGTATCAAGCTGTCAACGGTTTATTTTAGCTCTAGAAGCGCTGTGAGTTGCACGCCTGCAGCTCGCCTAAAAATCAGATAACCGCAACGGAAAAATCGTTTAAAAAACAAAGTGCTATTAAACCAATCAAATAAATAAAGCGAGAAAAAAATCAATACGTCGAAATCTCGTTTTTGGGAATTTTGATTCTCGGTTCTTCCGGCTTTGTTTCGATCGGTATAAAAGGGAATCCCGCCTCAAAATGATATTCGGTCGCTGGACGCGTAAACAAATGCTCACGATGTTCGGTTTGGGAGCTGCCCTTCTGGGCCTTGTGATTGTAATCGGTATACTCAACAGCAGCGTATCCTCGAAGGCGCTGGACTCGAAGGAGTCCAGATCCAAGTGCTACAAGACCAGCCCCAATACCACACACTCCACCCTGGAATTGGTGCATATAGTGTTCAGACATGGCATTCGTACCCCAGTGGACACATATCCCAAGGATCCGTACTTAAAAGACAATTTCAAGCCAACAGGATGGGGACATGTGACCAATGTGAGTGAAAACAAAATCTAGTTCTTTGTAAAATAACTCATTTAAGTGCAAAAAAGAAGTCGCTATACTTTTTACAAAATTGAAGTATGATAAAAAGTTTTGTTTCAGTTTGTAAAATGGTTTTAATAACTTATGGAACCTAAGTTTAGTTAGCTTTACAAAAAATATCTTTGATTTCCTAGGACTTATTTACGTTTGACTTAATAAGTCTTTATGTATTTTAACATAAAGATTAGCTCTCGATGGTAATGTTTTTAAATTTTTTGAAAATGATTGGTATTTTGGCTTACATCAAGGCGAAATTTTTATACAGTTCACTATTAAAACTTTTGTAGGCATATGTACCTACTATATGTTTTACATCACCTTCTCAGAGGGCGACCAGCTCTGTCTCGCGTGACCGAGTTTCTAATGCTCCGTTGATCGGTGCTATTCCAGAAATATCACATATGTATATATTTTCTTGTTTTAAATTTAGTTTCTAAATTGTCAAAAATCAAATCGCCTTCTTCAAAACAAACAAAGTTATAATATTTGTTTCTATTGGTCGTTCCGAGCAAACGGCTTCTTTGTTGGTTTTGCTGTCAAAGCATTTTGAAAGTTATAATCTTTCGAATCCCATACTCAAAATAATTTTAAGATCAGGCGACGGATTTGGGTGTCACAGAAATCGGCAACGGATTTGGGTGTCACGGAATCTGTAGCTTTTAAGACTTTCGGAGGAAATTTGCTCCGATTTTAGGAACATTTGTTTCAAAGCCTACTATTTGGTTGGTTTTAAACCGTGTACTTAATTTAAAAAACGGTTTCTGTGCCACCGAGATTTGTTTCTGGGGAAAAAATTTGGTTGGATGAGATATTTTAAGCTATTTAACAATTTCGTCTTAATTATAGTCTGGAAAACGGGAGCTCTTCGAGATGGGACGCTGGCTGCATCGCCGCTACGGGGCATACATGGGCCCCTATTACAGACCAGAAGTAAGTTTGTTCAACATTAAAGATGTCCCTATTTCGATAATTTGACTCGCGCAGCGGCTGCATGCTCAAGCTACTGCCTCGCCAAGGGCAATGATGTCCTTGCAAACAACACTGGCCAGCATGTTCGAGCCACGCGGAACCCCCATGGAGTGGAATAAGCACCTCAACTGGCAGCCCATTCCTATCGTATCGGAACCCTTGGATGAGGACTCGGTGAGTTATAATATCGCAATTTTAATGGCCTAATTTAAATATGTGCTTTAGCTCCTGCTGGTTCGCACACCCTGTCCTCGTTATTTCGAGGCCCTCGAGGAGGTTTTCAAGAGACCGGAAGTTATTGCCGAAACAAGGCCCTACGAGCAAATGTTCCGCGAGTTGACAAATCTGACTGGGAAGTCGATTCAGAGTGCGGAGGATATCAATTCCCTATATATAACTCTTCTCGCCGAACAAGAGTTCGGCTATCAATTGCCCGCTTGGACCAAAGATTACTTCCCCGATCGTATGCAGTTTCTGGCCGAGCAGAGCTACGTATATAATGCGTATACGCCCGAAATGCAGAAGATCAAAGGTGGGCCCTTCCTCAAAAGAATGTACAAAGAGATGGTTGCCAAAAGTACAGCAAGCCTGAAGCCCAGGGATCGCAGAATGTTTATATATACTGGGCACGATTGGACCGTGGGCAACATCTTAATGGCCTTGGGTGTGTGGAAGCGTCAAATGCCCCGGTTCGCCGTGATGGCCATTTTTGAAACGCATAGGGATAAGGAAACCGGGGAATACTATGTGGAGGTAAGAAATTTAATACCGCATGCGGAATTTAACTTAATTTCAGGCTTCACATCATTGAATAAGATTTAACCGATTGTCATTGAAAGTACACAGAGAAAATTAGCAAAAGTTTTAGGTGAAACATAAGATTCTTAAAACATTTTGTTTTTATTTTTAAAACGAATTTATAAGAAAACTGCACCTAAAACGTCGTCTGTATCTACAGTTTTACAAATATTTTTTTTCATAAAAGTGAAGCTTTAGGTGTTGGTATATTATTTGAATTTTATTATATGTTTATATCAGGGAACGTAACTGTTATAAGTTTTATTTTAAAAATCACACTTTAACAGTTATTTTCTGATTTGTAAAGTAAAACTCAAAGAATAACTGTTATTTTTTGAGTTTTATAATAAAAGTTGACAAATAACAGTTATTCGTCGTGATCAAAATAAAACTCAAACTTGATTTATGGCGATTTTGTGGGTAAACAAAATTTTAAAAAAATATAGGTATAAAATATGCGCGGTTGCCTTTTTTAACAAATTTTTAGTAAGTTATAAAAAGCACGGGTATTATGTTTTTTTTAATAATTTCATTTTTTCAAAAATGTCAAAGGAATAACTGTTATTCATAAAAATCAAAAAATAACAGTTATTTTTTGAGTTTTATTATAAAAATCAAAAAATAAAAATCATTACGGATTTGTAAACTACAATGGCTAATAAAAATTGTGGTGTATTTAAAAAATTTTTAGGACCCTTCTAAGTGCGTGATTTTTTTGTATGAAAAATTTACAATAACAGTTATTTTCGTTCCCTGGTTTATATTCATTCCATATATGAGACGTTCCATATCAACCCGGCCACCCCTTTTTGATTTTTTTTGTATTTGGATAGTACCACATTGATTGCAAAGTCCCTTGCTTCCAATATTTTACCTCATACCTATTTTGTCAATGTTACCACTCTTTCACCGTATAGTCGCGCTGAAAAGAAAACACAAAATCATTTTTAACCTGCGAACGAAAGACACAATCGGCATGGTTCAAAAGCAGAAAAATCTGTCTTTCCATGGCCGATTACTAGAAAAATACTGGATTTAATTAGACCGTAGATGACCAAACGATAGCGTTTTTAAAGTCTAAAAGTAAGATTTCGTCTAAAGGGCCAGTCTGCAAAAATACAATTATATTTTTCTCAAAAGGCCCCAGATTTATGGGATTTTTTGCCACAATAGTCCTAATATTATTTACAAGTTGATGAAAAAGCTTTCTCGGTCCCTACCCATTCTAAGTCTAATAACTTCTATTTTTTGAGAAGGCTTATTTGAAGTCGTTCTATCTCTATTGCTCAAATTAATACATCTAATTTCTAGATCTTCCTCCGCAACGACGAGCACGGCTGTCTGGAGCAGCTTCAGCTGAAAGACTGCGATCGCCAGTGTCCACTGAGTCGCCTAATCGAACTGAGTGGCGATGTCTTGCCCAACGAGCCGGCGGAGCAGAGATGTCGGCCACATGACGACAATTTCGTGGAGCCACCACCGCGCATAATCGATCAGAATGGCCGTTAACAAAAAGCAAGCTTGCAAAGCGAAATTTGTGCGCTCAGTATTACAAAAACGGTCGACGGAGAGTAGTGCAAAAAATATTATTATAAAAAAACCAGTACAATAAAAATCCCCAAAAAGAACGGTCATTGAGTTAATTTTGGGGGGAAATCTTGTTCGTGTGAAACTAATTAAATTGAATTGTTTGTGAAATATTTGCTTTTGTAGTTGATTATTCCACCGAATGAGCAGCTCGCTATACGCCGCTCTTATCTATGAGTGTGCGGGCAGGAGGCATGAGTATGGGTGACCACATAATCAAGACTTAAAAGCAGTCCGCAGTACTATTGATGCATTCACTCAACGCACAAGCCCCAACGAGGCCGGTCCAGTTGATTCCTAACGATCCGCTAATTTTAATTCGCGAAAATGCTAAAGTTACGCGGCCTGCTGCTCTTTGTGAGCTATGTGTTAATTGTTCGGGGAGGTGTTGTCCATGTTGAAGTTCCCCTGGGGATCACTGAGGGTCCCGAACACGGTTCTAAAAACTCAGTGGAAGTACATAATCCCGCGGACAGTGAAAAAAACTCAACCCTGAAGCTGGTTCATGTGGTAAATAAGTGAAAACTGCGAAGAATCTGAGAAGCAAAACAATATAATTTCATTACGAATTAGGGCTCGTTACAAATTTTTTAACTAAGCCAGTCAACAGACCAAAAAATTAAACAAAATGTGTTAAACCTATTTAATTTGACCTATTAGCTTGTGACGACAAATGCCATAACAGTGCCAAAAACTAAAATTAAAAAAAATTAAATAAAGTTTTCTCTTAAATAAACAAAAGTTTAGCTATGTTTTCCAATGAGTACAGTAAAAGAGAACTTTAACATAAATCAATCGCGACTGTTCTTGGGCCAGTTCGCAGTACTCGTGACGTATACGTAATATTGCAAAAAAGTTCCAAGACCAGAAACCGGTTTAATCAAACTTAAACTTCACATTTATGAGGCATTTCATTGTATAATTATATATTCCCATTACGATTTGAATGTTTAAAGCACAATTTGAATTAAATAATTAAGAGGAAGAATTTAATCAAGATGTATAAATATTTATTTATTGAAATCAACGCTGGCACGGGGTTAATTAAAATCAAAGTACTAATTACTTGCTTTAATGGTCGACTGAGACCAAAAGAAATATTATAATTTTAAATACTCCCACGGGAAAATATTTCTTTTTCGTTTAAACTAAATAATTATCCCATTTTCTCGGTATTATTGTAGTAGAAGTAGATTTTAGACTACCAAACTTATTAGCTTACCATAAAAACAAACAATCGAAGTAAAGTTGATACTCGTACCTTATAAAAAGCTCAAATTGACCCTAGGGTAATTGAAATACTTTTGACTAACAAAGCTTAGATTTGGATGCACAATTAAATACAGCAAAGTTCTTAGTTACCAAATATTTATCTCATTACATTTTGTGACAGCTATTTCGTCATGGGCCACGGACACCCGTCACCACTTATCCCAAAGATCCACATATCAACGAAACCTACGAGCCTTACGGATGGGGAGCGCTCACCAACGTTAGTACTTATCAAATATAAACACTAATTATCCAAATTAAAGTGCAATTTTAATTTGACAGGGTGCTAAGGTGGAGCTATATAAAATAGGCAAACAGCTTCGTCAACGCTATAAAGATTTCCTGCCACCCTACTATCAGCCCGAAGTACGATAAGTGGAGTAAGCTTAAGGGGCTTTAAAATAATCAGAGCATTGCAATTTCAGGTGATTCGTGCCCAATCTTCGGAGTCGCCGCGCACCTTGATGTCCCTGCAAATGGTGTTGGCCGGCCTCTTTCCGCCGGAGAACACTCCTATGGAGTGGAACCTGATGCTCGACTGGCAACCCATTCCCATTGTGATGGAATCAGAGGAAACTGACGTGGTGAGAATAATAATCATTAAAATGAGTCAAAATCTCTCAAGTATCGAAACTTCTGTGTTTATTATTTTAGAATATATTTTCCATTATTGGAAGTAAACAAGCTATGATTACGAATTTGAAGATAATTATTAATGAATAACTGCAATTTTTTATTGAAACTGCTGACCACTTCAAAGAACTTGACTAAAATAAAAATCTCAATATAAACATACCCTTTTAACTATATTCGAATTTCAGCGTATAAGAATGAAGGCCCCATGTCCTCGATACGACGAGGCAGTTCTGGAGGTGATAAACCTTCCCGAGGTTAAAGAGCTGCACGCAGAGAACTCTGATTTGCTTCAGGAACTGACTAATCTCACTGGTCTCAATGTTAGCCACGCCCATGATGTTACCAACATTTTTATTACACTGCTCTCAGAGCAAACTTACGGCTTGGAGCTGCCCTCATGGACCAAGGATTACTTTCCGGAGAAGATGTTACCGCTAGCCGGAAAGGCTTACGTCTACGATGCATACACGACCGAGTTACGCAAACTGAAAGGAGGTTTCTTCGTGGAGCTGCTAATAAAGCAAATGCAGGACCAGATTTCCGGAAAGATAAAGCCTAAAGATCGGAAGATGTTCCTTTCCTGCGGACACGATTGGACCATCACAAATGTGCTTTCCGCCTTAAACGTCTGGAAGGCTCAGATGCCTCGATTCTCAGCTCTAATCGCCTTTGAGTTGCATCAGAACTCAGAAACAGGAGAGCATTTCATGGAGATCTTCTTCCAAAACGATCCCGAAGAAGAGCCACAGCAACTTCAAATTCCAGGCTGTGAAAAGCAGTGTCCCATTGCAAAGTTATTGGAATTAACGAATGAAATAATTCCCGATGCTTCCTATGAAGAGCTGTGCAAGGCAAAGGGTACTCAAGAGGGAGCTAAGATCAGCTACAATTACTAAGCGAGTTTCATTGTTAGTAATCCAGTGTGCAGTATTAATGTGACATAACGAATAAATAAATATATGTATATGTGTAACTCTTTCGTGTACCAATAATTTGAGTGTTTGAGTGATTGGCACGCTTCGGGGTATCATTTACTAATTAACTATTGAGCTTTGAATGTTAGCTAAACTAGTTTTGTAACGATTCTCGTTATTAAAAGGCAGATTGAAAAGTTTTTAATTGTTTTTATATTACAAAAAATAGGTATAGAATAATTTTTGTATTTATTTAAAAAATATAGATAGTTAGGATGGATGGATAGGCTAGAATATAGAGTTATATTTTAATAGAAATATTGAAGAATAATAGAAGGTTATTTTATTTTAAAACTTATTTATGGATTTTAGATTATATTGTATACATTTGGTTTTTTAAGCATTTTCTGATATTGTTCTGCTATTAAGAATGTTATAGTTTACAGATTTTTGTATGATTATGCTTACTGTTCCTAATTAATAATAAACAAATAATTATGAATTGTATTTACTAAGTAAAGACTGGTTAACAGAATTATATAGAATCAAAATATCGAAACTAATTATGTCTGCATTACGTTGTTATGTTACCTAAAGCATACTTTCAGGCGACGCTTAGTTTTTTTTTTTAGGTCTTTGAAGGTAAACAAATATTATTTGGATTTTAGAACATCGCTGAGGTAATTATAAGAATTAAGTATTAACCACATTTTGTAATGTTTGTAAAATTTAAACTAAATTGAATGTACAATATGAACAAATAATTTTATTTTGAGTTTTTCAACAGCCTCTGTATTTCAGACCTTTAATTGGTTAGATTGGGTTTCTGTTTATTGTAGATTGAATATCCATAAATCTTAATCGACCCTCTCCCTTTAATGCCCCACATTAATCCTATAAAAACGGTTCGGTATTTTTTAAATTTAAACAGTTGGCGTTTGAAGCTCCACTCACTCGAATCGGAAGTAACTCACAAAAAAGAAAAACGACTTCAAACAAAAGGGCAGTATGTAATTTTCCAGATGGACATCGTTTTACAGAAACTTCCGGACTATGACGAAACCGTATTCCAAATCCAGCCCAGCCTCAAAAGCAATATTTAAATTTGGCAATTAAGCAACGAGAATGGATAATGTGTAATTAACATAATGCTCGATCAAGAGGCTAAACGATTTATTACAAAAGTGCTTGCACACGCAGATTCGATGACAAATTCGTTGGTGTTTCGAGTTGGCGGCGGCGCTAACCAGAACAAAATTAGTAAGCGGAGCCAATCCGAGAGTTCATATAAATTAAAAGTCGCGGGCGCGATTTAAAACGCCTCAAACGCTGCGGCATTGTGTCGGTGTCTGGGGCCTCTGCTCGGTCAAACATATCTTTGTACAATAGAACGCCAGCTACAATAACAAATGGAATAATAGAAATAAAAAGAGCGACGGTGACGAAAGCATTTGGCGATAATGGAACGATAAAAGAGCCAAACACTCATGCCTTTTTTGACTTTTCGACTTTTGCAATGATATTTCCCCCGCAGTCTTACCGAAGATAGTGCCCAAAGACAGTCGCGTGCGACCCTCGGAAAAGTCGAAAATTTAAATATATCACCGTAGCGCCTATCAGCATAATATTTAGTCCACGGTAAACAGAAGATAGTGGTCCTACACTCGGAGAAACCAGTGCAATTAATAGAGGTCGCGTGAGGCGAAAACCCGTTCACCGCGTCTGTAAATTAGCTAGTTTCGTAGCTCGACCAAAAGCACACAAAAGTTATTAAAGACAAAGCAAAGAGCGAACTCAACACGTAGTCTTCGATTTGTCTCGAGACTGTTGACTCCCAAAAACCGAAGACTGTAGAAACAAGCCAAAAGCGGAGTCGGAGAATCCGATCCCCTGACAGATTCTACGGCCATAAAGCTATAAAGCCCGTCCACCAAAATGCCGCGTTCGCATTTCACTCGAAGGCATTGTCTAGCGATGACGGGCGGATTAATTGCATCGGCGGTTCTAATCTGGTGCGTCGCTCACTCGGCGATCGAATCGTCGGCCAAGCTCTACGATCCCGGCGCTGATAAATCCACGCTCGAGCTGCTGCATGTGGTAAGTCGGTGGGCGAATCGCCAATCAAATCGAAAAACAAAGCGGTGTGGTATTTAAATTCCGGAACACAAAACAGCTGTGCGGCACAGTGATAGCTACACTATGCGAACAACAAGTAGTTAAAGGGCATAGATATGTTTTATAGGTCTGCGAAGAGAAAGTAAAGTGTTTATTTATAGATTTTTGATACAAAAGCCTTTGCTATAAAAACACTGAATTCAAAATAATAATTGAGGAAACGCCCCTGAATTAAAACCCGCCATAAAACTTGTTATATTACAAACAAGGATAATTTAACTCAATCGTGCTAAAACATATGTATATATTACGTATCCTAAAAACATTCCAAACCAATTAACATTAATCCAGAGTCAGCAATCAGCCGTACCATAAAAATTCAGCTGATAACACAAATTGTTGCCATCACTTTTAAAATTTTGTTTACCGCATTGAGAAACTCCTGGCATTGACATTTACGTAGGCAGTAAAAACAAACATTCTGCCGATAAAGCATTTGTTTATAAATGTGTTAAGCGAAAGTGCAAACGCCGGCGCATTTTTTGTAGCCGTGTGTAAACCCATAATTATGATAGTACTACAGTTTAGTAGACTGTCAGCTCCGGTGGCAGATAAGATTCAGTCCGGTCATTTAATCGCAACCATCAGTACGGAAAGTGAACTCGTTCGATAAAGGTATGGCAGAATAGACTGTGGAATTTCCAAAAGACTTGTCCCAGGTTTCTGTGCATTTCCCTCCTTTTATTATATCAGCTGTTTGAGCCATTTGTCTGGCTCAATTCAATCAGATATAATGTTCATATAATTGCTGTGAATTACACTTTACGAAAAACAATCGAGCGCGGCCAGGCGGAAAGTTTAGCGGATCTTTTTTATATTAGTTTAAAGCGAGTTGGTGTTAAAAAGTTTAAGCTGACCTTGGAAAATAAGTAAGGTGGTGGTGATGGAAACCAGGGCGAAATCCAATTACAGAGCGTCAGAAGTAATTTTTTATTTTTTGTTATTTCTTTCTTTGCGATGCGCAATTATATTAGCCAATTATTTTAAATGTTATCTCAATTAGCAATCAAGTCAAAGGTGTTTTACAATTTTAGCTAGGTTTTTATTTGCGGGGCGAAACAAGTTAGTTTAATTTTGTTTAAAATATGAAAATATTCCCTCTACACCAAAAGCTAGCGTGATGTCATCAAGGGTCTTGTTTAAATTAGTTAGCGATTCAATAAATTATTTTAAAATAACCTGTATAAAAGCCACAAAAAACTCGCATAATTTATACATTCTTACTAAATAACTCTTACTTTAATTAACACGATTATATACTCTGCTAACTCATTCGTCTTTTAATAGACCCACAAAAAATTAATTACAAAACAGAAATCAAAACAAAACCAAAACAAAAAACCAGCTTCCCAAATTACACTCTGCCCAAAACCAGTCTGCTGTCAAACGTATAATAAAATTATAAAATAAAACTGCGACGCACTTTTGCTTTTTGTTTGAGCACTGGTCATACACGATTGATTAACTGGAAACCCACTTACCGTAGTCATGCGGCGCAGTGTTAAACGCAGTTATGGAAATAGTCCCATCCAGAGCCCAGGTTCGACCTTCAAGTGAGACACCGTCTTATCAGCGAGAGAGAACACTTCCGCCAGAATCTGGGGTCGCACGAGCGATTCAATCTTACAAGCCCGTCGCGTGCTGAGTTTCTTAAAGCTGCCAGCTAATTAAAGTGTTTCTGCCTTTCGATCGCTCGAGATATATATGTACATATGTATTTGCCTACACTGCGGTGTGCATGTGGTGAATCCGTTTGACTAATAAAAATTGTAATTGCTAAACTTCAGGTATTCCGACATGGACCACGAACGCCGGCGGATACGTATCCAAGGGATCCCTATGTAAATGAGACCTACTATCCCTTTGGCTGGGGACAAATAACAAATGTGAGTGGAGAAAAAGTTGTGCAGCGCAAACTTTTGCCGCGTCATCCCCGAGTCCCGTCCCCCGGCAAAGCATTTAAATAAATTGAAATGCAAATGTTTTGCTGGCAGAGCCGGGGGATCGGGGCCGGCTGCATTAACATATACACATGCATATGTTTATGCAATTGCAAAAATGCAAGGCATTTATTATTTTATAACACTTCTCTCCATCTCTGTCTCGGACTTCGGCTCACTCTCCTCCCCGGGCCCCGCTTTCCCATTTCCTCGGCTCCCTGGTGTTGTCTCACGTGCCATCCGCTCATGCCATGCAATAAATCAACGCTCCAGAATGGCAAACGCGAGCTGTTCAACATTGGTACTTGGCTGCGTAAGCGTTATGGCAAATTTCTGGCGCCCAACTACAGTCCTGATGTGAGTAAGCAGTCACTAACGAACCGACAAGGCACAACCCCTTGCACCCCTACACAGAGAGAAATTTTCAGTGCACATCTTTTGGGAGTTTAATGGATTTTCTGTCTTTATATCAGTTTGTATGTTTCAGTACTACAAGATTCCGCCCAACTACTATCTTTTTAAATGTTAAGTTATGTGCTATTATATTTTCTTTGTGATAAACAGGAGTTAACAAATCTAAAAAAAATTAAGAATTGTTTCCAAGATCATTTAAATCCTAAACAAAAACTTAAAAGATATTTTAAATTCATTAAATATGTTCCTTTAAAGTTTTATAAATTTGGAAAGCTCGTATTAAATTATACTTATATACCTAATTATACTTATATACCTACCACATACTACCTTTATATACTAACAGTCGAAGCTGCAATCAATTTCTCTCTGTGTACCCTTACCATACTCCCTTGCCATCACGTCCGCGGGGTGGTTGCCTGATAGTGCGGACGTTTACAAATTGCAAAGCTCAAGCGCGCTTGGCTCATCACTCAATTCCTTCTTTTCTCTTTCTGGTTCTGTTTCTGGCTCTGGCTTTCTCCTTCTCCGCTTTCTCCGTCTCCGCTCTATTCCCTTCTCTTCGATAGTCGGTCCACGCTCAGGCGACGGGTGTTCCGCGAACTCACATGACCATGCAGACCGTTTTGGCCGCCTTTTTCCCGCCAAAGGGCACCGATATGGAGTGGAATGGCCGGTTTAATTGGCAGCCCATACCTGTCTTCTCCCAGGAACTCAATGAGGATACGGTGCGTATACTTGATAGCCAAAATGATTAATCGAAACAATCGCCTCCACTGAGGGTTATAACTCGATTAGCGATTTGACAGAGATTAAATATGCATAAGGGTGTACTTGTATATTAGTGAATTTTGTAAGAATAGTTAGTTTTGGTCAACGAATACTTACATATGTTCCGTTTACCTTTCTAATTGTAGGTATTATGTTAGGCTTGGAATGAATTAAAAAAGTTATTAGTAGCTCATGAGATTTATATGCAAAGTAATGTAAATTATTTTTGACTACCTGTTTATCGCTGAGTAAATGTAAATTGCAAATTTAAGCCTACTTACTAATTCAAAAAAACTAAAAATAGAACATTTATCTATTTACGCAAGTCGAGGTCTGTACAACAAATGCTATTTGATTATAAAAGTAAACTATTTTTAGTTGCTACTGGTGCGAAAACCCTGCCCGCGATATTTTGAGGCCCTGAATGAAGTCTACGAGCTACCGGAGGTAAAGGCAGAAATCGCACCCTATCTGGAAATGTACAAGGAGCTGGAAGAGCACACGGGCCTGAGCTTTAAGGAGCCCGAGGATGTGCAGTCGTTATATTTGACGTTGCTCGCAGAACAGGAGTGGGGTCTAGAATTACCTGAATGGACGCATTCCTATTTCCCCGAGAAACTCCAATTTCTGGCCGAACAAAGTTACGTTTACAACGTCTACACACCCGAGATGCAGAAGATTAAGGGCGGTCCCTTCATCAAGAAAATGCTCGATGAAATGCAGCAGAAGAAGAACGGAACCCTGAAGCCCAGTGGCAGAAAACTCTTCATATACACGGGTCACGATTCGACGGTGGTTAACGTTCTTTCAGCCCTGAAAGTTTGGGAGCGCCAGATGCCTCGCTACTCCTCGATGATTTTGTTCGAACTTCACAAAAACAAGGAAACCGGCGATTACTGGGTGGAGATCTACTTCCGCAACGATCCCAAGGGTCAGGCTCAAAGGCTTACACTTCCTGGCTGTGAGTTCCAATGTCCTTTGGATAAACTACTGGATTTCGCCAAGGACGTGCTTCCCACGGAAGCGGATGCAAAGCGGTGCGAGTCCAGAAATCAAGCCTTCACAGAACCACCTCTTCGAGGACCATAGGAACCACAATACAGTGCAAATAGGAGAATCGTTCAGGTGCTACACATCTCAGGGAGTGGGACCGTCAAAAGTCCACGAAGAAGCCGTAGTTTTCTAGTTAAGTCAGTCGTTTAGCTTATACCGAATAAAAGTCCGTTACCCTTTTTTGTAAATCTTATTATCTTATTTTAATGTGATCTGAACACAGATAAAGAATTAATTTTTCTTAATATAAACTGAACATTTTTTTTTATATATTCCTCGACTTGTTCTCGAATAAAAGTTAGACGTTAGGGGAAAGCTCAACCGATAATTCCCCCATTAACCTCCTAGATGTTCTGATAACACCCGATCGATAAAACCAGGTCTTAAACAAAAAGACCGATGAAGTTTTAGTCGGTGTAAAATTCAAAAATTCAAAAATTCAATTCTACCAATTAAATGGGTGTGTTACTTTGCTATTTGTGTGTATTTGTTGTTGTGAAAGTAACTATTTGATTGCCAGAATTGACAATTTTTGTGGTTGGGAACTGTTTGACAATTATATTTGTTTTTTTTTTTTTTTTTTCGTACTTATAATTTTTAAAATTTTTGCTTGAGTTTGCCTAGGAAGGCGTTGTACAATTTTCGATATATCGTATCGTATAAATAATCCATTTTATCTCCTGTTGCAATATTAACTACTTAAAAATAATTTATCAGATGTTGGTATTTTTAGCATTACCTAGTTGGCTTTTCGACCAATTGTCAGACGTGCGTTTAGTTCTGATCGGACCTCCGAGTTGCCCCTTCGTCGTTCGACGTTCGGTGTCGGATATTGTCAGCCGGCGTCTTTTGCGCCCCATGTGGCAGCCAAGTTGGCTCATTTCCGCTCTGTGGCGACAGTCGACTGCCGTCATTGCCATTGCCCAATAGGCCGCTTCCGCTTGGCCTTTGCCAGCGGCAAACGCAAACAACTTCCGCACTTGTTTAGCCAGTTGGATGCGCCACTCCATCTTCGGTGCCATTTCTGTTTCTGTTCCTACTGCCATCTTCGCATTTCCCCGCCGCCCTGCTCATTTTTGCCAAGAGGTGACATTTTTCGCATTGCGGTTTACCATAAACTATTTCATTGGGGAGTTGCTCTCCACCTCGCCCATTTCTTTCTGCCCTAACCATCCGCTCATTCGCTTGTTCGCCATTGTTTACTCGTGTGCGCTCCCATCTCTCTTCCAGTTTTCCCGCTTTCCTCTGCGTCCGTGTGTGTCAGTTTTCCCTGCTCCGTGGTGTGTGCATATCTGTAAACTTTATTTGTCAACGGGACGCATATGTTGTGTGTTTGCCAAAAAATAAACGAATCCCCATGTAGCAGGTCGGGCATTCCCCAATTGCATTCAGCTTGTGCGTTTGTTGCTGCTTTTAATTTTATCTTAATTTGATTTTCCGGCGGCGGCGGGAGAGGTGTGTGTGCGTGGGCGTGGGCGTGGGCGTGGGCGTGGGCGTGGGCGTCTGACAAATCTATAAGTACATATGCTCAGCTTGTTCTACTCCGATGATTAATGGTGAGCTGAGAAAAGGACGTAAGTATACTCCACGTGGGCACCGATGGCGCTAAGAGAAAGATGACAGTTAGGAAGTCCGAAAACTTTTATTGATTTTGTTTTGGTGTAAATGGATTTTTGTGGATTAATCTTATGAGCCGATTGAAATTTTATTTTAATGGCTTCAGCATTATTGTACGTTTAAGGCGGGCTTTGGAAAACATATGCATATATATGTAAACCTTACTTACATTAGGGGGGAAATACATAAAGAAAACAAAAAAAATTAAATTTTTTTTTATTATTTAAATTGGTAGTATAACTCTTTAAGAATGTGTCATGAAAGTTTCACAAAGAAATTCGAACTATTTTGGAACTTATTCCAGTATGACGGCTCCCATCTTCCTTGTGCAGTAGATAGGGGAGAGGTCTGTAGGTTGAGACACCTTTTGTTTTTAGTCTCCCATTTGGACATTCGCTTTTGAAACTTCACGCGTTAGGTACCGATCGAAAGCTTAGTCTTTTAGCTGTAAAATAATGCAAAAAAAAATTTTTTTTCCCTTGGGAAAACTAAAAAATAATTTTTTTTGAAAAGTGCCAAAAAATGACAATTTGAAAAAGAGGTCTGTAGGTTGAGACACTTTTTAAAGTCAATAATACTCACATAAAAAGTACTCCAAACTATAAGGAACTATTTATTTATGTTAATTTAATCAATTTTAGCTCGTCCTAAATCATTTCCCATCCACTTTTTAAGAACTTAGACCAAATAACAATCAAAATCAAAAGGCTCTTTGAACATTCACTTTTCCCCTAATATCAAAGAAATGTACTAGGCAGAAAGCGACCTCTGTTGGCCTCAGGCCTTTTTGTATGAAAAACGGGTGTCTCAACTTACACGCTCAAAGTGTCTCAACTTACACAAAATGGGATGTTTCGGAAAAAAATTAATAACTTTTGTTCTGACTGTCACATTAAGCTGATTCTTTTTTTAATTAGTTAACAGTTAATATACTAATGTTTTAAATCTCTTACCAAGTTAATTTAAGGACGTTATTAATTTTAAATGGAATTCTGAAAAAAGTAGACAAAAACTTTTTTGGTGCAAAATGGTACACGAGTCTCACAGCTTAAATCTGGCTAGAGCCTGGCTTATAATGTTTTCCCCAAAAGTTTTTTCACTAAAAAAGTCTACAAAAAAAAATAAAAAAAATTTTTTTAGTGAAAAAGTTTTGAGAAAATTGAGTGTCTCAATTTACAGACTGTCTCAACCTACAGACCTCTCCCCTATGTTTCATTACTTTAAATGCGTTTTTCTCGAAACCATGTTTTTCTCAGCTGCGGATCGTGTATCTCAAAAAGTAATGCTTCGATCATCATGCTGCTTTTGCGGAAATGTTTGTAATGAAATTGCCCACTGTCTGAACCTACCTTATGTAGACATTTGTACGTTGAAGTATTTTTTCTAAAGCAAAAACAACAAGAAAAATAAGAAAAAAAATTTATTTTTGACTTTAAAAGAATGCCCCAACCAGAGTTTTTGAGATATTCTATGTAAGTGAGGTTCAGACAGTTTCTACATTATTCTCAACAAAATAAATTTGGTTTCACAAAAATCGGATCTACACAGCGAACTGTAGACGATCCGCAGCTGGCCTACTTTTTTTAAAAAAGGCCTGACAAAAAAATTCCCACGGCCGCCATTTTAAAAGATACAAGAAAAAATAACATTGGTTTAAATTATATATGAACTATGTAATCAACATGCCAAGTTGCAAACTTCCAGCACAAACCCTTATTGTTTAAAAAAAAATCATGAAAAACTTGACAAATTTGCAGTTCTATATGTATCTCCCCCCTTAAAAATCACAGAAACTGTGGTTTAAAGTCAAATGTACAAAAACTTTAACGAAGTTTTTAAGACATTGTTTCTTGGTAATATTGCTAACAATTTTTTCTATGATTTGCAGACCTACAAATCGATCCACCCTAATATATATATATAAATAAACTGTCTATACCCGAAGCGACTTCGTTCGCTTATAACACTGTGCAGCATTTTTAGTGCTTTTTAAATTTACCTCGATGGATGCTATATTTTTGGATTCGTTACGAATTCCCAAATTAAACTGCGTTTTCCAAAAAGTTCCCCGACGCAAGGATTCTTAGCAAAAGGACCTCAAAGTTCGAAAAATGCTGAAATTGGCCAACTTTGCGAAGCTCTCAGAGGCAAATGGATGCATGGTTTGATTCGATGTTAAAGGTTTTTAAAAGATACGCCCTTTATCTTTAAAACCCCATACTTAAAAAAATTTTAAGATTTTTTTAAGGCAGAAACAAATTCTAGAAAACATAGTCAAAAAACATAAAAGAATACAGCTGCGGTCAAAATGGTAGTAATGTTGCCGCCCTGTGTATTTAAAAGTTTGTTGTTGTAATTGATCTTTTCCTGGTAATATTGTATTGATTATAATTTTACTATTAGACTAATTGGATAAGAAAAAATTACAACATGAAACTTTTAAAAACACAAGGCGGCAACACTACTACCATTTTGACCGCAGCTGTATACTTTTATGTTTTTTGACTATGTTTTCTAGAATTTGTTTCTGCCTTAAAAAAAATCTTAAAAATTTTCTAAGTATGGGGTTTTAAAGATAAAGGGCGTATCTTTTAAAAACCTTTAACATCGAATCAAACCATGCATCCATTTGCCTCTGAGAGCTTCGCAAAGTTGGCCAATTTCAGCATTTTTCGAACTTTGAGGTCCTTTTGCTAAGAATCCTTGCGTCGGGACACTTTTTGGAAAACGCAGTTTAATTTGGGAATTCGTAACGAATCCAAAAATATAGCATTCATCGAGGTTTATTTTTGCTGCTGCATAGTGTAATTAGTTGGGAGTACGGTTGTTAGGACTTTCTTATTTCTTATTAGCGCGTTTTTTAAACCTCTGTGTAAGCAATCTATTTAAATTTTAAAAGATCCATTAGGAGCTATATAATAAATCAATGTGATCTAAGTAAAAGTAGTTAGTTTTTTTACTTTTTATAAGTTACAATGTTATCAATGCTATTTTAATTTACGCACAAATATATCTGTTTGTAAATTGGAATTTTTTTTTAAATTTTCTTGCTTTGAACAAAATGATAACATTTGTACACACGCGAAAAGATTGGTATACCGTACAAAAGTAGCGAAGTAACTTATTATTTTCCGATTCCGATAACACTGTGCATCATTTTTAGGGTTATAAAATGTAACCGCAATTCTGATTTTATGAGCGGACAGTACTCATCGCAATAAGCTAAAACCCATTTGGGTTTCTCTGGCGTAGCTCGCGTTTACCTATTATTGCGAGTTAAAGTTTTACATACTACATTTTTTTGTAACGGCCATGTCTTCAGTGATTACGTAGCTATGAACCCAAGGAACTAAATTGACAAATGACTCTTGTGAAGAAGTGCACCTAGCGTGTTAAAAATCGAAAAATGAGCATACAATTTTTTTTACCCGCTAGGTGCACCTTGTCATATTATAAAGTTCGTTGGAATAATTGTTAAAAAAAATGAAGAGACAAACATCAACTGAATTGTTAAAATCTATGCCGCCTTGATTAGAAAAACTTTTTGATCGAAGGCAACAGTGCGTATGGGTGATAAACTTTGAAGCCACTTCGCAGTCCCTAAAACGCGATTTTATCAAAAATTTTCTTTTGGCTTACCTTAAATACCACAATGCGCACCGTAAAGGCGGGAGAGAGTAGGCTTACAAATTTCCATACAAATTACTATTGATTTTAAATCATATTGATAAGAGTAGCAGGTTTTTAAAATCCAAAACACAGCACTACCCCTCCCCCATCAGTTTCCTTGGCTGTTGCTCTCTCGACCCTCGCTCTCCTCAGCTAGGAACACACGATGCAAATAATTTGCAGCAATTTAGACATTTTCAAAACCCAAAATATGTCAAAATCCGAATTTTGAAATTCCAACTACTTTAAAAGTTAAGCCATAAATACATCTAATTTTTCTTGTTCAAAATATTGATGTTGAAGCTGTTTGTTTATAAAAATACTATTTTAAATTTTTAAATTATTTGATATATTTTTTTTATAACAGGGAACTTTTTAATTTAAACAAAGAAGAGCTTAACAAAGTTATTAACCTTGTTTTGAAATTTCTCATGGCAGTAGATTCAAATTTCCCCCCATCACCCGGTTTCCCATTGAGACATATGTATGCCCGGGTCCACAAATCTACTTACAGCACACTAAAGCTTCAGTTTCAGCTTTAGCTTCAGTTTCATCTCCGGCTCAGTCCAAAAAGTTTGGAATGGCGAGCAAACTTTTGTGCGGGCTAAGTGCGAGTCTTAGGGGGAAGTTGGCAATTTTTTGCTTCGACTGCCACTGAGACTGAAGAAATAGGAGCGGCCAGTTGGACCCTAAGTTTCCTCTGAGCCGCTGCACTTTTGCCTCACATCTTTCTGCGGTCAGCTTACTAACGACTTTTCGATACGGACCGAGCACAGCGAAAACTTTGCGCTTGGCCTAGGAGATAAAATGTTCCGATTGGCGAGGCGCTGCGGAATACAGGGGCCCACCTGGGTTGGCGGACACACCTGCTTCTCCGGCTAATCCCGACGGGGGGTGGCGCCGGGGGCCGGGTGGCATGCATATTAATAAGCTGCACAAATGTTTGCCGGCAAACAAAGTGCCAGGATGCCGGCGCTCAGAGTCGGATGCCGTGTAGTTCAGTCTATTAAAAGGCACAATGGACTTCCTCTCCAGAGACCCGGGATCCAAGAAGAGCAGGGGCATGTGATGCTTCATTTCCGCTTCCCAGCAGAATAAAGAGACGGTACACCGAAAGAAAATAGATTCTTGGCTAATGTTGTTTACAAGACCAACTTTTATAAAGTAGTTTATTAAGCTGGTGACTATTCATAATTTCAATAAGATTACAACTTTTTTTTTATTTATCACATAATGTAATTAAAAGTATTAAGATGCCAACATGTTGGCATATTTTCTTTCTCTGTAAAGAGAGTGAAAGCTTTCCTCACTCAAACTGTTTGCCGTTTAGTTTCGCATAAAGCGTACTCTGCCCTGTAAAATGCATAAATCTTTGTTGGCACTGGAGCTCGGCTTATACCCAGATTCTCGGTCCTGGATTCCGTTCCCTGCCTGTTGTCTCAGTCCCCCGCCTTACTTACTTTGCCGCCTGCAGCCGCATGGTCGTCTTGTTTGTTGCACGTTTCATTTGTCAAAAAAGGTTTAGGAATTTTATTGCCAGCCCCAGATCTCAGAACCCAGTGGTAGTAGGGCCAAAGGATCTGTGGTCGTTTTCCTGTGGGCGGTGGGCCATGTGGATGAGGTGGCGAATCTGCTGCACTTGTCGGCTGCCCTAAGTGGTAACTGCTGGGAGCCCATTGAAGTGCCACTGATAGCACAATAATTTGTACACGGCTTGCACCCGACAAGGAGAAAGAAATGCAAGGTTAACTAACTACCAGCCGGCAAGTGAAATTAAAGTGATTTAAGGATTCGGGGGAACTCCGTAAGCAAACTGAAAATCGTTAGAAAGAGAGAGAGAGAGAGTGCTTAATTAAATATAAGAAAAAACAGGAGAAGTGATATATGTAAAGTATAGACAACAACTAAAGGCTTACGAATTTAAAACAAGAGAGAACGCTATAGTCGGGTTCGCGTCCCGACTATCTAATACCCGTCACTCAGCTAAAGGGAGTGCAAACGCTGTACTCGGGTTGGTGTCCCGACTAATAATCGTAACTTAGCTAAAGGGAGTGCGAGGGAGATGGATATAGAAATTTTAATTGCGTATAACTTTTTAATGAATGGTCCGATTTGAAAAATGTCTTCTACATTTCGATAGGTATAAATATGCACAACAAAATTGCATTTATACTTCTCGGAAATCTTTAAAGATGTGGGCGCCAGACACATTTTCAAATCGTCAGTGGGCGATTGTGGGCGTTAGAGGGGGCGTGGCACTCGGCTGAAATAAACTTGCGCTGCGTAGGAAGCCCAAGAATATGCGTGGAGAGCCACAACCTTCTAGCTTTTGTAGTTTCCGAGATCTCAGCGTCCATACGGACAGACAGACAGACAGACGCACATGGTTAGATCGACTCGGCTAGTGATCCTGATGAAGAATATATATACTTTATATGGTCGGAAATGCTTCCTTCTAGCTGTTACATACTTTTGCACGAATACAATATACCCTTTTACTCTACGAGTAACGGGAATAAAAAGCACAAGGAGCTCCACTGTACGTTGTCAAATAATTACTTTCAGAAAAAAATTGAACAAACAAATTTACAATAAGCTTATAAAATCCGCTAGTGATGGCGAAAAAGGATAGTAACGTCATCTTTTATATGACTCTGGTAATTATAGCCGTTTGTGGCTTTTGCATCTGGAATTTCTCTGGCTTTAATCATGAGGACGCCAAGTTTAATATGATCTTGGTGGCATTTTTAGCGGTGACCCTGATACAGATTCTTGTTTTTACGCCCGTCAAATTCATGATAATGTCTATCGATGCCGCTTGTTGGCCAGACCATCAGGAACCTATTACTCCCGACGAAAATTCCAAGGTTGAGACTTTTATGGACAAGCTAAGACTTAGACTTCGGTCTTTACGGAGTGAGCTAATGATTACGGAAAGCCATCGAAATGAGAGGATTAACCTTAAGTACCGCCTCATAACAGGAGAACTTTTACTAACCGGCATGTTATTCCTGAACTTTTTCGTCATGTCTTTAGTATTAGTCGACCAGTTGCTTTACTATAATACGGAAGCTATACAGACTCTATTCGGGACGAACCACAAATATACGCTTGGACTATCAAATTTGACAATCCTGAATGATATATATACTTTTCTCGAGTATTCGCTGATCAGACCCTTTACGGATGGGAATAACACAGGTCTCGGAGCGCCTTGGATTCATGCGGAGCCCGTCAGATTGCTCGGCGTGGTGAGATTAAGACAGCTAAGGACAGAAGATAGGTTCATAGGTCTGAGTGGACCTATTTTTAGCAACAAGGACTTTTCAGAAGGGTGGTCATTGCCTTATGAAAGGGTCCCCTATACGGATAAATACTGGCCGATCTATGAACCCTGGGTGTCGGTGGTCAATGGCTTTCAAGAGAAAATCTTGGGCAACACTCACCATGGTCATTTTATTACTTATCCGGAAATGGCGGGATACCAAGTCTTGCTCTCTGATACACGCAGTAAAAGTCTGATAATACTTGATTATTTGATGGCGAAAATTTGGTTGGATTATAATACGCGTGCTCTTTTTATGGACTTTACTTTGTACAATGCAGATGCGAACATCTTTACTATATGCACCCTGTGGATAGAGCAATTTCCTTTCGGGAACACTTACGCCCACCTAGACATCGAAAGTGAAGTTTTTGTAGAGCAAATGCGACAGTTTTCGATTTTTGGAATGTTAACTTTATTCATAGTCGCTATTGTGTGGCTGAAGTTCGCCAAGGCATTTTTTGTCAAGGTCTGGTACGATCCTCGTCTTTTGAAAACCCTGTGGATCCAGGTGGATGCACTGATCGTGGTACTCAGTCTGATGGTTGTGGTGATTATATCGATTCGAGATAACTTGGTTCAGTCGATGATCAAACAAATAGAAATCTCCGTGATGGTTAACTTTATAGATTTTCGTGAGCCGGCTGAACTTACTTACTACGCTGATATTCTGAAGGGTTTCGCCATAGCTCTGGTCACCATGCGACTTTGGAAGGTATTGCAGTTTTCCGAGACCTTTCAGCTTTTCACCAAAACAATTTCAATGGCTTGGCGAGCGCTTATTTGGTCGATGGTGATAACCATCATATTTATAGTCGCCATTGCCCTTGCCACTGTCACGATAAATGGTAATTATATCTATAACTTTAGGGACTTGACTAAGGGCATCATATCGGTCAGTTGTTTTGCATTTGGCTACACTGATAAAGTGGCCCCACCAGATTTATTTAACGGTGGAGAGTTTTTGGGCATCATCTTATATGTTATAATGGGCTTTGTGGTCAAGTACTTGCTAATTAATTTGATTGTATCCATGATGAGGGATCAAATGGCAAGCGCCAAAGCGAAAAGGGATAGGAAAGTACTGCATCGGATATCGTTTTGGGAATTTCTTCGCGTGGAATATGCTGGTTGTATTAATAATTTATTAAAAGTGTGCCGTTTAAAAAAAAAATACAAGCACAAGAACCGAACAGTGACAGAAAATATCGAACGAAAACTGAAGCATATCGAACGGGTGGATAAATTGATCTATGAGCGCAGAGACGAGGAACTGATCCAGTTAAGATATAGGGAGCGTATCGAGCGAACTTTAACTTTGGGCGCAATTCTGCAGACGCAAATGGAGCTTATTGAAAGGCTAATGTTCGGAGATGATGATGGAAATCTACCAAGTTTGGACGTAGCTGAAGAAAATGTTTCAACAACTCAAAAAGCCTAATGGGGGTCGAAAAACTTACACCGTTAACAAACCACTTGTGAATAAAAAAATGTAGTTAATATTATACATTGAATAAAGGGGTTGTTACTTGGCTATCTTTCTGGTCAAGAATGTATTTACTTTATATAGTCGGGGATGACTTCTACAACCTGTTCCATACTTTCCAACGCAAGGGAACTAAAAAGTTTATTCTTCTCTCACCAAAATATTAGAGGACTTAACATAAACCTACCCAAGCTTTATGCTGACTCCTCTGCATTTTCGGACGATATCATAACTTTTACAGAAACTTGGCTAAAAACCAGTGATAACCGACTCTGAAGTTCTGTCAAACAACTTTAATACCTACAGAACCAATCGCCTTTCCCGTGGGGAATTCTGGGAGAATTCACTCTCATGTCCCTTATGACATTGAATTTCCTTGTGTGAAAGTTTCCCTGCAATCCTTGTCTGAATTATTTGTGGATTATTTAAAATTAAACAAAATTTTGAATTTTGTTTTTTTTTTCAATTTGTCCCCCGCACAGTAGCTAAACAAATTTTTTTTATTAAGTAATTGTTAAAAATTACACATACCAACAGGCTTGCCACCATTTTATATCGATAAATGAGGCTTTTCTAAGCATAATTTGCCACTACGCCTATACTCCATCAGCTCTGGTATTTCCGGTATCTTTAATTTAAGAAAATCTTCATTTTTTTACGTCCTTTGGGATATATCTTCAAGAGTAGTCATCCAATTTTGTTACTCTTTTCGGAATTACATAGTTACTCGTCTCTTCTATATGATCCTTTTTGAAAATGTAATCTAAGTTAACCACAAGAGAAGGTGGGCGCATTCAAAACTTGAAAGTCACAGCAAAATTTAAAAATCTTAATTTGTGAACAACGTTTAAAAATTAAATAAAACAAGAAAGAACGCTATAGTCGGGTTGGTGTCCCTATTTAATACCCGTCACTCAGCTAAAGGGAGTGCGAACGCTGTACGCGGGTTGGTGTCCCGACTATAATCGTAACTCAGCTAAAGGGAGTGCGATGGAGATGGATATATATAGATATTTTGATTGCGTATAACCTTTTGATGAATGGTCCGATTTGAAAAATGTCTTCTACATTTCGATAGGTATAAATATACACAACAAAATTGCATTTATACTTCTCGGAAATCTTTAAAAATGTGGGCGATTGTGGGCGTTAGAGGGGCGTGGCGCTCGGCTGAAATAAACTTGCGCTGCGTAAGAGGCCCAAAAATATGTGTAGAAAATCTCAACCTTCTAGCTTTTGTAGTTTCCGAGATCTCAGCGTTCATACGGACGGACAGACGGACATGGCAAGATCGACTCGGCTAGTGACCCTGATCAAGAACATACATACTTTATGGGGTCGGAAACGCTTCCTTCTACCTGTTACATACTCTTGCACGAATACAATATACCCTTTTACTCTACAAGTAACGGGTATAATAAATTATGAAATTAAATAGGTATATGCACCAAAATTGGGATTTTTACCCATAGTGCCACGCAGTGAAGGAAATGTTTCCGACCCCATAAAGTATATATATTCTTGATCAGCATCACTAGACGAGTCGATCTAGCCATGTCCGTCTGTCCTTCTGTCCGTCTGTCCATCAGTCTGTCTGTTTCTACGCAAACTAGTCTTTCAGATTTTAAGCTATCGGAATGAAATAATAGGAAATTGAACAATTTTGCGATATTTAAATAAATAGGAATAATCAGCAAGGGTATATAAGCTTCGGCTGGCCGAAGCTATCTTCCTTTCTTGTTATTACATGTTTTTATATTCCACCTGGCTCTGACCTAATAATTTATGAGCAACATCTATCTGCTAATAAATCTTATCTTTTGGGTGACTTTAATCTCCTGGATATTTCTTGGTCGCTTCCCTTGTCGCTCTATCTTTTTCCGCCCACGATTTTGTGGATGGCTTTTAGAATTATCAGGGACCAAAAAAAAACAGTTATTTTATTATTTTTAATCAAAAAAATCATGCACTTCGGATCCCACTAAAAATCGGAGAAAAAGAATTCATGAATCGCTGTATTGGTTAGAACTTTAAAAATTGTTACCATGGTCATTAATGGTTCCTCTAGGTCTGAAGAATTTGCGGTCTTATTATGTTGAAGAATTCATGTGTATAAGTACAAATTGCAACCTTTAAAATTCCAATTCCAATTGAGCAACAGATATTTAAGACTTATATATTTTCGATCACCACATAAAAGTTATTTAATGATTTTTATACCCTTGTAGAGGGTATTATAATTTCAGTCAGATGTTTGCAACGCAGTGAAGGAGACGTTTCCGACCAAATAAAGTATATATATTCTTGATCAGCACCAATAGCAGAGTCTATCTAGCCATGTCCGTCTGTCCGTCTGTCCGTTTCTATGCGAACTAGTCTCTCAGTTTTAAAGCTATCGCGATGAAACTTTCCCGAAAGTCTTCTTTCTATTGCAGGTAGTACATATTTCGGAGCGAGCCGGATCGGACCACTATATCTTAAGGCTCCCATAGGAATATTCAAACATATATAAGAAAATTCATTGTTACTTGTAGGAAGTAGGCGTTTTAATTCTTGACTACTTAAAAACAAAATTCAAAAATAGAAACGCTGAATCTGGAATCCCTGGAACTGCACCGAGTGAGTATTACTTTATCTGCAAGGGTATATAAGCTTCGGCTGGCCTTGATACCCTCTCTCCTTTAGTTTCTCCAACTAATATGTGACTAATGTGACTATAGTAAACTTAACTTAATGATTTCTTAATATAAGTGGACAGATTTATATAACTGTACGGACATCGAAAGTGCCACTGAAATGTTCTAAAGCGTTCTAAACACTTTGTTTAATGAGTGGGGCAAAAACTTCTTGCTACTTATTTAGTTCTAAGGAAGAACACTCGAAGGTAGCAGAATATTTAGCAACACGTTACATCCACGCTAGGACCATTCAATAAAAAGATACTCATTCGCTGAAGACCTTCAAATTTTCCCAAAACACAAATCATTGTGAGGAGGCTTAAAACAACAGCGGAGCGCCGCCGCAGGGGGAATCAAGGAACGACACAAACCGAATTCATAAAAAAATGAAAACTGTTCGTCTAATATAATTTAATGCAGGGACCGTAAATAATCATTATTTGAGATTTTTATTTTAAAAGGCCTACTGAGGTTTTTACAAGTTTTAATCAACAATTTAACTGGTTTTTATGCACTTTATAGACATGAAGAAATAACAGTTAATTTGCTTTAAAGATTTGTTGAAATGCATATACTTTGTGGACAAGAGTAAAAATAACGTTTTTTTGTACGTTTAAAAGAAAATATCACAGTAGTCTTAATGATTATTTACGGTCCCTGATTTAATGTATAACAACGAAAGACTGCTTTGTTTTTTATTGTTTTATAAAATTATGCAGAAAGTAATGGAGGTCCCATGACGAAACTTTTAGGAGCCAACAAGAGTTATGTATAGAACATTATACATTTGTATAATGATTGAAAATTCCGATTTGCAGAAAACCGCGAATGTAATATTTTTTTTTTAAGTTTGGACTATATTTTGCACTTGAACCATTATGGGTGTTATTTTTATCTGAAAGCTTGGCAAAAATAATAACACTGTGCAGCATTATAGTGTTGATAAGCGAACAAAGTCAGCTTTCCGATTGACTTTGTTGTGTGCGTAAATAAGTGAAATATCTTTGCAAACTTTCAGAGCTTATTTTGTGGAGCAACAAAATGGTTTATTATTTCTGATCATGTCAAATCGTAGCAAAGGTATTTATAAATGTATTTTAGATTACATGTTTTGATTATTATGGCTTGTTGTCCAACTGTGAACTGTTTTAAATGTGCATCTTTATACCCTTGCAGAGGGTATTATGATTTCAGTCAACAGTTTGCAACGCAGTGAAGGAGACATTTCCGACCCCATAAAGTATATATATTCTTGATCAGCATCACAAGACGAGTCGATCTAGCCATGTCCGTCTGTCCGTCTGTCCGTCCGTCTGTCCGTCCGTCTGTCCGTCCGTTTCTACGCAAACTAGTCTCTCAGTTTTAAAGCTATCGGGATGAAACTTTCGTAAAAGTCGTATTTCTATTGCAGGTAGTATAACCAACCGGATCGGACAACTATATCTTATAGCTCCCATAGGAAGGATCAAAAAAAAAAACGTAAAAAAATTCTAGCTCCGGTGTTTTTTAAAATTTTACCTTCTACTCTTGGCAATATTTTTTTTTATATATTTCTAAATTTCGGTTTTTTTGTTTTTTAAATCGGAACACTATATCATATAGCTGCCATAGGAACGGTCGAAAAATTAAATGGAAATTAATGGGAAAAAAATTATATCTTTGTTGGTTTTTATTACATTCCCTTCTACTCTGGGATATGATTATTTTGAAATATTTCCGAATTTCGATTTTAATTTTTAAAAGATCGAACTACTATATCATATAGCTGTGATAGAAGCGATCGAAAAATTAATGTGAAATAATAAGAAATTTAACATTTTTGCGATTTGTAAGTCAATAGAATGATCTGCAAGGGTATATAAGCTTCGGCTTGCCGAAGCTAGCTTCCTTTCTTGTTTTAGCTTAAAACTAACAAGTTCGTTTGTGTTCCGTGGTGTACAACTTATAAATGGCACAAAGTTGCGAAAAGGTAAAAACGCAAAGTTATTACCAAATGTATCCTTAATATTGCAAAACTAATAATTTTTGCAACTTTTTGCACGTTTCTTCAAAAAAATGACTTAAATCCAGCAACTTATAAACATAAAAAAAAATATTTTTTAAATAAAAAAACAATATAAGTGGCTTTCATTAATCTTAAAAATTGAATTTATGGAAAGGGACAAGTCAAGTGAAAATCCTGGCTGCAAAGGGCTCAAATATAAAGAAGCTGGACCCCAATTAAAGCTAAAATTGGCATCTGCTCTTAGATAATATTTCACTTTTCTTGTACATGTC